GGAAGGAAGATTTTGAAAAGCAGAGAAGCTCAAAAAGTCAGATATTAAAACGTGGTAATGTTATAACAGCTAAGACAGATTTTAAAAGTCTAATAAAACAACAAATGAGGGACGCCTGGGTGACTCAGTTGGTTGGACAACTGCCTTCGGCTCAGGTCATGATCCCGGAGTCCCGGGATCAAGTCCCGCATCGGGCTCCCAGCTCCACGGGGAGTCTGCTTCTCTCTCTGACCTTCTCCTCGCTCATGCTCTCTCTCACTGTCTCTCTCAAATAAATAAAAATAAAATCTTTAAAAAACAAAAACAGATGAAATGGAAAATCCCCCACAGGTCCAAGTATGTGTATGTGTACGTGTGTGTCTGTGTGTGTCTATATGTGCATACATATTTTTTTTTAAATATAGGCTAAAGGTAACAAACCATCAGGGATAATAATCACAGATTTCAGTAAGTAATGCTAAAGCAACCAGTAAACTCTAGGGAAAAATTAAATTAGATCCCTACTCACACTGTTCACAAAAATAAGCTCACTTGAAGAATTAAATGTGGGGATGCCTGCGTGGCTCAGTTGATTAATCATCTGCCTTGGATGAGGTCATGATCCCAGGTCCTGGGATTAAGCCCCACTTTGGGCTCCCTCTCTTTCCTTCTGCTCCCCACTCCTGCTTGGGCTCACTCTCTCTCGCTCTCAAATAAATAATCTTAAAAAAAAAATTAATGTGAAAAAAGAAAATTACAATAAACTAGGAAAAACCAGAGGTGACGATTCATCCAAACTCAGGATGGAGAAAGCCTTTCATAAAGGAAAAAGTTACAAATGCAAGTTTAAAACATGTTTGAAAAATTAAAAAAAAAAAACTAAAATGCAAATGAAAAACTGGAAAAATATTTACAAATTATAAGACAAAGAGAAATGGCCTTAACATATAAAGAACTCTTTCAAAACTGAAAGAGAAAAATGTACACTTTGATAGAAAAATGGGCAAAGAACATTAATAAGGCAATAAACACACTCTAAAAACAATCTCCTTCAATAAATCATAGCATCAAAAGGCAGAGTGAAGTTGGGGTAACTTCGGAGCCATAACAACCAAATTCAAAGAGTAGACCTTGTCTGAATTCAGGTTCAAGCAAACAAACTTGAAAACAACACTTTGAGACAATGGTGAAATTGTACAGGAACTAGGTATTAGGTGATAATAAAGAATTCACGTTAATATTGCCAGGTGTGATAATGGTATAGTAATTATATAAGAAAAGATTCTTTTTGCTTCCTCTCTGGGCTCAGACCTAGTTTGCAGGTCCATGGCTAAATGGACCAGGAAGGTCAGAATCACTGGTACATATGAGACCCACTATGGTGCCTCTCGAAGGAAAATGGTGAAAAAGACTGAAGTAATACAATGTGCAAAGCACTCTTGTTCCTTCTGTGGCAAAACCAAGATGAAAAGACAAGCTTCAGGGATCTGGCTTTGTGCTTCTTGCATGGAAACAGCGGCTGGTGGGGTTCAGACCTACAGTACTGCTCTGTAGTCACAGTAAAGTTGGTGGCCATCAGAACCTTGCAGGACTTGAGAGACTAATAGAAGCTCCACCATCTGAAACATTATGAGCCTATAATAAATGGGTTAATTTATGCAACAAAGTAAAATTTCAAAAAAGAAAATATTTTTTTTTAAGATTTTATTTATTTATTTGGTGCAGAGAGAGAGAGAGAGAGACAGAGATCACAAGTAGTCAGAGAGACAGGCAGAGAGAGAGGGGGAAGCAGGCTCCCTACTGAGCAGAGAGCCCGATGTGGGGCTCGATCCCAGGACCCCGAGATCATGACCTGAGCCGAAGGCAGAGGCTTAACCCACTGAGCCACTCAGGTGCCCCGAAAATTTCTTTTTTATAAGACACATGCTGAAGACTCTAAAATATAATACTGAAACACCCGTAATTTACTTTGAAATATTACAAGTAAAAAAAAAAAAAAATTAGATGAAGCAAATCTGGCATAATATTATCAAATAGACAAAAAAAAAAAAGTCCCCAGTAAAAGCCAAGAGGCAAAAGAAACCAGCAGTCTTGACCACTGCTGATGGGAGAGTAAACTGGCAGAACTTTTCCAGAGAGTAATCTTGCAATATGTGTCCAATGTCACAGGTATGTGAAAAATATTCAAATCCAGCAAACCTATCTTCAATAATTTATCACAACTATCAAAATGGGCACAAAGATTCATAAACATATAAGTTTAGGGGCGCCTGGGTGGCTCAGTGTGTTAAAGCCTCTGCCTTCAGCTCAGGTCATGATCCCAGAGTCCTGGGATCAAGCCCCACATCAGGCTCTCTGCTCGGTGGGGAGCCTGCTTCCTCCTCTCTCTGCCTGCCTCTCTGCCTACTTGTGATCTCTGTCTGTCAAATAAATAAATAAAAATCTTAAAAAAAAAAAAGTTTACCATAGCATTATTTGTGACCATAAAATACCAAAAACAACACAAATGTCCATCACACAACCACCTGAGTGACTACTACCAGGCAGTCATCAAAAACTACACTTTGGAAGAATAATTAAAGCTATTTCAATATATTGGGTGGGGGGGGATACCTGGTTGGCACAGTCCATTAAGCGTCCAACTCTTGGTTTCAGCTCAGGCTGTGATCTCTGGAGTGAGAGATCAAGCCCCATGTCAGCCTCCACACTCAGCATGAAGTCTGCTTAAGATTGCCTCTCCCCGGGGGTGCCCGGGTGGCTCAGTGGGTTAAAGCCTCATGCCTTTAGCTCAGGTCATGATCCCAGGGTCCCGGGATCAAGCCCAACACAGCAGGGGCTCTCTGCTCAGCGGGGAGTCTGCGTCCCTTCCTTTCTCTCTCTGCCTGCTGCTCCGCCTACCTGTAATCTCTGTCGAATTAAAAAAAAAAAAAAAATCTTAAAAAAAAAAAAATTGCCTCTCCCTCTGCCCCTTCCCCTGCTCATTCTCTAAATAAATAAATAAATAAATAAAATCTCTTCTTTTTTTTAAGGACAAATACTGTACGATGCTACCTACATGAGGTACCTCCAGAGATACACAGAGACAGAAACTAGAATGGTGGGAGGTGAAGGGAGTGAATGACTTGACGGGTACCGAGCGTGAGTCTGAAATTCTGGAGACAGGTGGTGATGACGGTTGCACAATAACGTGAATGTACTTCACGCCACTACGCTGTACACCAAGAAACGATAAAGACGATAAACAGTTAGAAATAAATAAGTAAATAAAGATATACTGAGGGGCGCCTGACTGGCTCATCCTGAAGAGTGTGTGACTCTTGAACGGGGGGTTGTAGGTTTGAGCCCCAAAATCCCCATGTAGAGATTACTAAAAAAAAAAAAAAAAAGTAAATAAATAAACTCTTTTTTTTTTTTTTTTTAAAGATTTTATTTATTTATTTATTTGTCAGAGAGATAGAGAGGGAGAACACAAGCAGGCAGAAGAGCAGGCAGAGACAGAGAGAGAAGCAGGCTCCCTGCTGAGCGAGGAGCCTGATGCGGGACTTGATCCCAAGACCCTGGGATCATGACCTGAGCCGAAGGCAGCGGCTTAACCAGCTGAGCCACCCAGGCGTCCCTAAATAAATAAACTTTTAAAAAAAAAAGATATATTCATACATTTTAAGGAGAAAAAGGCATGTTGCAAGATATTATGTTTATGTATGGTCTCAATTTTGTTTCATTGATGTCTTAAATATTTATATGCAGGGAAAAAAAAAGGTTCGGAAAAACCTGTATCAGAGTGGTAGTAATTATCACTATGTACTGTGGCTTACAGGAGAATTTTATTTTCTTTGTCTATGTGCTTTCATGTAATTTCTAGTTTTTCTACAATTACTTTTATAATCAAAAGTATGTTGACAGAACAAATGAGGAAGGGGACAGTCACAGCGGCTGCTGATCTTAATGTGAGAATGTCCTCAAGTGTATTTCCAAGTGACATAACAAACTTGATAATCAAATTATAAAATGCATGCTAGAGTTTGGGAAAATAAAGACCAACTCAGAAGATAAACCATCAGGGAATTAAAAGAGAGGCATATTCCCGGTTTTAAACAATTTCTGAAGCTGGAGTGGGTTCACCACATCCCTGTGTGCCCCGCAGAAAGGGAAAGACCAGAGGAGCCTTTAACACCACTCGAGTGGCCCGGACAGGCTCAAAAAGAAAAGACTCTCGAATCAACACGGCGCTCTCCCTGGGAGTCAACACTCCCCACACCCACACATCTCTCTTAAGCTAAATCCACTTTCAGAAAATATTTTCTAGACAGCAGACATCAAGAGAAAAAGGAGCCTTTCTTTCCGTGGCATTCCCTCACCACATATGGTCGTGCTCTCAATAGAGGCTTTATGAGGGAGGGTCCAGATACCACAGGCATGGGCTGTGCCACGGACCACAAGCAGCAATAAACAGACTGTAGGATTTGGACTGCCATGCAGCAGAGGCTCCCTGAATAATTAAGACAGAGCTTCCATCACATTGCAACCTTCAGTAAATGTTTACTGAGTGCCTACTAAGCACAAGGCACTATTTGTAACACCATCCCCCCGACACACACACACAAACACACGCCGCTTCTTTGTTCTGCTCAAGGACTCACACCAGGAAAGTAATGATTTAGGCTGGAGGCACCTGACGGTTTGAGCCAACATGTCACATGTCACCCAGATTGAGAAGAGAGGAGGAGAGGCAGAAGGAGAGCATTTAACCTCCAGAAAGTATCAAGGAGACACATCACTGCATCCCACCAGGATAGCCTGGGGACAAAGGAGGCTGAACCCAGCAGTGGAGGCAGAGAGGAGCTCCCGCCTTCCTAACACTCCACGACGGCATTCACAGGGAACAGCCACCGCAGCCCCTGGTCCTGGAGGAAACTGCAGCACCAGGCCTATCCGTGGCGTGTGAGAGAAACCCAAGCCCGCAAATTCTTTTCCCCACCCCCATAAGTGAATCACACTGGCCACCCCTTCATCATACGTACTTTTGCCCCCATTGTTCTTCAGAACATTGGAGAGGTTGACAGAGGCAGTGCCTAGCAGTTCATTTCTCAAAGTATGGCAGCTCCAGACCTTCAAATCTAAATGACTCTGGGCCGTGACATTCCTGGAAAACAAAAACTTGATTCATCACATCCGAGCCTATTGGTCTTCCTACAGCTTAAAAGAAAACAGATAAACTTACTGCTGACATCTTGGAACTGGGGGGGGCGGGAAGGGCCTCAAACACGGAGACACTTGTATGTGTACTCTTCCCCCCACAAAGCTGACCCTGTAACCATCCAGCTAATAATGAACGCTCTGTGACCTCAATGATGTAGAAACACCTGGTGAGAGGTGCCTTGGGAACCAAAGGCAGAGGAGTTAGAGGTGTCACAGGAAAGCAGGATCTCCCACAACCCCTGTGGAGCACCTTCTCTCTTTCTCCCAGGTTACTGCAAAGAGAAGAGACTCTCTCTTACAAAATGATGATCTCATTCCAGAGAAGCTCGGAGCTCCCAATTCGCTTCCCCGTCTTCTTGGTCTCACTGGGGAGTCCATCCACTGCCACCTCCACAAATGAGTTAATTCGAGGTTGACGGTTATGCACCTTGGGCTTTGCTGACACCACTGGACGGGAAAGAAAGAAAAAGTCAAAGATGAGTCAGAAGGCTCCCAGCTGCCCCCCTGTGGCAGATGTTCTCGCTCTTTTTTAGTGTTTCTTTAAAAAAAATAGGTTTGGGATTTTTTTCTGACCCTAAAAAAATTTATTTTTAAAAAATTTAAGGATATTTTAAAACTATGAAGCATAAGGAAAAAAGCACTCCTAACCTGAAAATACTGGGATAATTATCATTGAGATATTGGCAAATCCACACTTAACACTCTCATCTTTTATGCTCCCACTTCTTCAAGAATCATTCTCCCTCCAAAATCAATTCTAAATGGCTACAATATGAGCCAATTGTATAGATGTACCATGATTTAGTTAACTGTTCTTTCGGTGCTTACAATTTCTCGCTCTGGGAAAATCATCACGAATGTATATATTTGCATGCCCTTCTCAGTATTCCTCAAATGATATGAGTATTTTTTCTTCAAACTGCTTCATTCCTTTGCAAAAAGGATAAACCCATGTAGATACCAATATATCCACGTCACCACCATTGTACTATTAGTTTTTTTCACTATTTGCAAATCAGAAGTAAAAAAAAAAAAAATCATCTAAGTTATGGAAGATTTAATGAGCACTTATTACAGACACTAGGCTATGCACACATCATCTAAATGAATCCTTGAAACAAACCCATGAGACAGCGATTACATCATCACCCCCATTTCACCCAAGTGGAAGCAGGCTTGGGGAAGTTAAGTCATTGCCCCAGGTGACAGAGCCTGGGGGCTTCAAACGAGAATGTGCACCCAGGCAACCTGACTCCCCACCACGATGTATGTCATTACCAGATTTTGCTTATTGGTTATATTACCGTTCTTCAGTTACTAGTGAGGGTGAATTTGTTTTCCATGAGCTTGTTAGCCATCTGCCTTTCCTGTTATATCTGTAACCTTCATGTGGCAGCATTTCTGATGTTTATTTGGTACGAGCAAGCCAACTGAACAAGTATGCAGGCATCTCTTAGAGCATATATTACCCATGGTGGAAACTCCAGGTCACCAAGACAGACCACACCTAAGATGTCCTCGATCCCATGACCCAAATCAGAGCATGTGACTGGCATTTCTCACCCATGAGGCAAGAATGGGCTCCCCTCTTATAAGGTTTAGCAAACCTCTCTCTCCCACACCCTTTTGAGAGTCCTATAAGGGTCCACAACTTGAGAAAGGACAAAACTACCTCTGGATTCTATTAGCAATACCTGTGTTTTCCAGGACCAATAGAACAGTAGAGAACACGTCAAAGAAAACTGAAATACTTTTCACATAGACTAAGGTTAACTGACGCCACCTTGTGGTGGGAGAGTAGCTCTGCACACAGAGCCTTAAAAAAAGGGGCAAGGGGAGAGGACTAGTTATAATTATAGTCCTATCATTTTGAGCTAGACAGTTTCTTTGAAATCAACAAGTTCATAAGGAGAGCACCTGATATAATGATTAGTATAAGGTGTTATATAAGACTGATGAATCACTGAACTCTACTTCTGAAACTAATAATATACTGTATGTTAATTAACTGAATTTAAATTAAGAAAAAAGAAGAAGAAATCAACAAGTTTGAACCCTTCATTTAATAGTTGGGCCAATTAAGTAAGGTGCAGGGAGGTGAGATAACATATCCAAAATCAGGGAGCACCAAGGCCAATTCTCAGAACTCTGTTATAATGTTTCCTTTTTTGTCCCTCTAGCTTTTACCCCTAGGTTCTTTTTCCCCCCTTTGGAGATTTATTTTTTGTTTTGTTTTGTGGTATCTTTACTTTCTTTTTTATCTTGACATAATTTCAGATTTAGAAAAGTTGCAACAAAAATACAAAGAATTCCTATAAACCCTTCGCCTAAGGGTCACCAAATACTAACTCGTTACTATATTTGCTTTGTTATTCTTTCTCTTTCCTGAGTCTCTCTCATACACATACACATCCATTCCTGAAATTTTGAGATTGAGTTTGAGATGCTGTGCCCCTTTTCTTCTAAATACTTCAGCGTATATTTCTAAGAACAAAGACAGTTTCTGATAATACCATAATATAATTATCAACATGGAGAAATTAAATAATCTTTAAAACTACGATCTAATGTACAGACCTCATTTAAATTTTGTTAAATGTCCTATCAATGTCCATTATAGCAAAAGAGAAAAGACACTTTGTGTGTGTGTGTGTGTGGCCCAAGATCCAATCTAGGATTACATATTGCAGTTGGTAGTTTTATTCTGAGCTTTCCAATCTACAGAAAGGGTTAAAGAATAGGACAATAAGGGGTGCCTGGGTGGCTCAGTGGGTTAGAGCCTCTGCCTTCGGCTGAAGTCATGGTCCCAGGGTCCTGGGAACAAGCCCCAAATCGGGCTCTCTGCTCAGCAGGGAGCCTGCTTCCCCCACTCTTTCTGCCTGCCTCTCAACCTACTTGTGATCTCTGTCTGTCAAATAAATAAATAAAATCTTAAAAGGAAAAAAAAAAAAAAGAATAGGACAATACATAACTGCATATTCTGCAGCACCTATCACTTTGCCACATTTGCTTTTTTAAAAACCTTTTTTCCGGGATACCCACGTAGCTCAGTAGGTTAAGTGCCTGCCTTCAGCTCAGGTCATGATCCCAGGGTTCTGGAATCGAGCCCCACATCACTGGGCTTGAACTCACAATCCCAAGATCAAGAGTCATGTGCTCTACCAACTGAGCCAGCTAGGCACCCCACCACATTTGTGTTTTTTTGTTTTTGTTTTTCTATGTGTGTGTCTTCATCATTGCTATTCAAGAGAACTTCAGGAGCGCCTGCGTGGCTCAGCTGGGCGTCTGCATTTGACTCAGGTCATGATCCCAGGATCCTGAGATCAGGTCCCACCTCAGGCTCCCAGCTCAGAGGGGACCCTGCTTCTCCCTTTCCCACTCCCCCTGCTTGTCTTCCCTCTCTCACTGTGTCTCTCTCTGTTAAATAAATAAATAAAATCTTTAAAAAAAGAGAGAGAGAGAGAACTTCAGTGATAAGGAAAAGTTCTATGCCAACACAGGCCAATGCATGCACATGAGATACACATGGCTACTGAGCTCTTGGAATATAGTTGGTATGACTGAGGATTTAAATTTAAAGTTTAATTTTAATCTTAACATAAGTAGTTCTATGTGGTTAGAGTGGCTATCTTTCTAGATAGCACAGGATACAGATACAGGAGATCTGTATTTGTGTATGGGCATTACTCTGCATATACCCACAAACTTCTTTTTGGTAATCCATTTGAAAATTGTAGATATCATGACTGATCAAACCTAAATACTTCCAGTATACAACTTGTAAGAATACGGACGTTCTAGGGTGCATGGGTGGCTCAGTTGATTGGGTGGCTGCCTTCGGCTCAGGTCATGGTCCCAGAGCCCTGGGATTGAGTCCCACATCGGGCTCCCAGCTCCAAGGGGAGTCTGCTTCTCCCTCTGAACTTCTTTCCTCTCATGCTCTCTCTCACTGTCTCTCTCTCAAATAAATAAAATCTTTAAAAAAAAATAATATGGACATTCTAAACATTGTACACTTGAAACTAATGTAACACAGTATGTTCATTATACTTCAATTAAAAAAAAATAAGGAGGGGGCATCTGGCTGGTTCAGTTTGTACAGCATTCAACTCACACTCAGGGTTGTGAGTTTGAGCCCCATACTGGGCATAGAACTTCCTTTAAAAAGGGGGATGGAGGGCACCTGGGTGGCTCAGTGGGTTAAAGCCTCTGCCTTTGGATCAGGTCATGATCTCAGGGTCCTGGGATTGAGCCCCGCATCGGGCTCTCTGCTCAGCAGATAGCCTGCTTCCCTCTCTCTCTCTGCCTATCTCTCTGCCTACTTGTGATCTCTATCTGTCAAATAAATAAATAAAATCTTTAAAAAAGGGGGGGGGAACGGAAGAAATGCAGGCACCTGGGTGATTCAGTCAATTAACTCCAACTCCTGATCTCAGCTCAGGTTTTGATCTCAGGGTTGTGAGTTCAAGTCCTGAGTTGGGCTCCAAGCTAGGCATGGAGCCTACTTAAAAAAAAAGAAAAGAGGGGCACCTGGGTGGCTCAGTGGGTTAAAACCTCTGCTTCGGCTCAGGTCATGATCCCAGGGTCCTGGGATCAAGCCCCGCATCAGGCTCTCTGCTCAGCATGGAGCCTGCATCCTCCTCTCTCTGCCTGCCTCTCTGCCTACTTGTGATCTGTCAAATAAATAAATAAAATCTTAAAAAAAAAAAAAAGAAAAGAAAAGAATAAAAAAAGGGAAGATATTTTTCCACCTAACCACACCACCATTATTATACCTGAAAAAAATGTAGTTACTCCCTCTATCATTTGATATTCATTACATATCCAAATTTCCCCAATTTCTCCAAACATATTTGTTAGAGCTCTTTCTGCCAATCTAAGAACCTATCAGCATGAGCAAATTGGATTTGGTTGCTGGTTCCTTAATCTTCTAAAACCTAGAATGCTCTCCCTTCTTTTTCCCTGACAATGATTTTTAAAAGACTTCCACCAGCTGTCTCATATAATGCACCAAATGCTGTTTTTCTGATTGTTACCCTCATGATGAGATTCACAGTGAACATTTTTGTCAAGAATACTACATAGGTTACATTGCATGTGTCTTACTGTACACACTGGGCTGTCCTCCTACCGTGGATACTAAATTTGATCCTCTGGTTAATGTGCGGTCTGTCAAGTCACTCCACTGTAAAGATACATTTTCCCCTTCATAACTTATAATTAATCAGTGGGATGATATTTTGAAGGTTTCATGTTTTTAAAACACAAGCCAAATTAAAAGCCTCAACATCTGAGCAGATTTATCTGGAAAGTTTATTTACTGTTTGATGAAATATAAATGCCAATTTCACATCTTCACATAGAATTTAGCTTTTAAAGTTAACAAATAAGATAAAAAAAAACAAAAACCCACACATGGCCAAAGTTGTAACCTTGAAAAGCTCTTAGGAAAGTACAGAATAGAGTCTGATATAATGTCTTTCAATATAAAGCAAAAAGCCAGTTTTTGCTTTGTTGTGCTGGTTTTCAGTGTTCAGTTTCTCGGTGCTTCTTCAGTTAATTATCAGATAAAACAGCTCGCTTATGTTTAAGGATCTTGCTGTATTTTAAAAGTGTATTTTAGGGGCACCTGGGTGGCTCAGTGGGTTAATCCTCTGCCTTCAGCTCAGGTCATGATCTCAGGGTGCTAAGATCGAGCCCCATATCAGGCTCTCTGCTCAGCAGGAAGCTTGCGTCCCCCTTTCTCTCTGCCTGCTTCTCTGCCTACTTGTGATCTCTCTGTGTCAAATAAATAAATAAATAAATAAAATCTTTAAAAAAAAAAAAACCTCTCTAAAAAATAAATAAAAGTGTATTTTAAAACTGTAGGACTGGGGGCACCTGGGTGGCTCAGTGGGTTAAGCCTCTGCCTTCGGCTCAGGTCATGATCCTAGGGTTCTGGGATCGAGCCCCACATCAGGCTCTCTGCTCAGCAGGGAGCCTGCTTCCCCCTCTCTCTCTGCCTGCCTCTCTGCCTAGTTGTGATCTCTGTCTGTCAAATAAATAAATAAAATCTTTTTAAATAATTAATTAATTAATTAATTAAATTTAAAAAACTGTAGGACTGCATTATAGAGAGACATAAGGGAAATGAGGCAGAGAGAAGGAACACAAAGTCACCTCTCCCAAATTACACTATAGGCTCTCTTAATGAAACACATGGAAGGAGGAACCAGCTACACCATCTACTTTGTTATCTCTCTTTTTCTCTTCACCCCATCATTTTCTGCAGTGGTATTACAGAATCCCTATCCGTTAAATGCATCTGTAGTCAGACGCGCTTGTATTATCCAGTTAGCTCATTCCACACTAGTAAAAATTCACACTGAGGAAAGGCAAACAGACATCTTTACAAGTCAAATGCATTCCTGAATAATATGGCCCCAAAACATGGATCTCATTGTGTCACCAGGGTCTATGGACAGCCTTCTGTTTTAACCGAGACTTGATAATTTTTAGACCAGGTAGTACAAGCTAAACTCCCAAATTCAAAACCCTATCAAGTTCTCTCTAATGCTTCTCCCTCCTCAAGAGGGCTAGAGTAGAGTAACCATGAGACATCAACAAAAATGGTTAAAATGTATCAAGACTATTTTTTAAATCAATAAGTAAATAAGAAATAGGCAGAGAATCTACAGACTAGGAAATCCAAATTTCCCTTAAACATAGGATAAGATGTTACACATCATTTATAATGAAGAAATGTAAAATAAAAGTCCGCTGAGAAAACAATTATTTGGGGGCGCCTGGATGGCTCAGTGGATTAAGGATCTGCCTTTGGCTCAGTTCATGATCCTGGAGTCCTAGGATGGAGCCCCACATCAGGCTCCCTGCTCAGTGGGGAGCCTGCTTCTCCCCTGCCCCTACCACTCTGCTCATGCACACTCTCTCTCTCCCGCAAATAAATAAATCTTTTAAAAAAAGAAGACAGAGAGAAAGAAAAAAGTTGTTGTTTTTTTTTTACCAATCAGACTGGCAAAGATTAAAAAAAAAAAAAAAAGTCTGAGAACACATTGTGTCGGTAAAGATTTGGGGAAATGGGCACTCTCATGCACTGCCAGAAGAGTATTCCTTCCAAGGAAGGCAACCTGGCTCTCAAGATTACAAAACCATATCCCCTTTCAGGTCTCTTGGAAGGGTCACACAAGAAGCTGGTAATATTAATTTCCTAGCAGGGGCACTGAGGAGCTGGAGGAAAGGAAACAATTTTAAAGCACCTGAATGAATTAAAGAGATGAATAATACTTGCATTTCAGAAATAATAATTTTAAAAAATGATGCGACAATTTTGCCTCCAAATGACCATGTCTCTGAGAGGCCAGAGCTGTGATACTAAGCACTGTCCCGGGTCACCAGGCATCTCTCAGTCCCGTGACTCTTCCACAGAGCTAAGGCTACCAAAGCAACCTTCTGTCACTCAAACAATATTCACTGACAGCCCACTAAGTGTCCGGCACTGTTCTCTGTCACTGGGGTACCAAAAGTAATCAAAACAGACCAAAAGCCCTATTTTTGTGTTTACACTCTATTGAAGGAGAAAGTCAATAAAGGAAATACATAAAAATCTGTAAATTGCATTGGGGCGCCTGAATGACTCAGTCAGGTGAATGTCCAACTCTTGATTTTCGTCTCAGGTCAGTCACACTTTCAGGGTGGTGGGGTTGAGCCCCAAGTTGGGCTCTGCACTCAGTGCAGTCTGCTTGTCCCTATCCCTCCCACGTGCTCTTCCCCTCAATTGTGCACCCGCACTTGCTCTCTCTCTAAAATAAACAAACAAAATCTTTAAAAATATATATGTACTACGTTAAATGGTAACAAGGCTAAGAAAAAATATAAAGTAATGAAGGGGATAGACATGAGGAGGGCGGGGAGGCTGCAGATGGGGGAATCAGGAAGGCTTGTTAAAGAGGTTGACTTTTGGGGCACCTGGGTGGCTCAGTGGGTTAAAGCTTTTGTCTTCGGCTCAGGTCATGATCTCAGGGTCCTGGGATCGAGCCCCACATCGGGCTCTCTGCTCAGCAAGGAGCCTGCTTCCCCCCCCGCCCCCGCCTGCCTCTCTGCCTACTTGTGATCTCTGTCAAAGAGATAAATAAAATCTTAAAAAAAAAAAAAAAAAAGAGGTTGACTTTTGAATAAAGACCTAAAGAAAGTAAGGAAGCAAACCAGGTGTATATCTGGCCCTAAAGGATTTCACTCAAAATGAACAGCAAATGCAAAGGCTCGGAGGTGGGAGTGTGCCCGGCACACACAATGAAGAGCAAAAAGGCCCATGTGACAGCAGCAGGGTCTATGTGAAGAGTAACAGGAGATGAGAAATGGGAGTGGTGGGTGGGGTCATATACCATGGAACCTTCAGCTTTTACTGGGTGAGATGGAGCACCCTTGACACATTTAAAGCCTTGATGTGCCCGCTGTGTGACTGAGAGAACGAAGTAAGACAAAGGACAGAGGCAGGGAGGCAGGTTAGGAGGCTACTGCCTTAATCTAGGGTGGAGATGGCAGCTCGTGGACGCTGCAGGTGGTGCCAAGTGGCTGAATGATGGATAGCTCTGAAGACAGACATAATCAGATTCCCTGACTGGCTGAATATAGAATATGATAAGGAAAACCAGGAGCTTACATGGTTACTAAACATTCAAGTGGAATGACAAGTGGGCTACTAGAAATAAAAATCTGGAAATAAATCAAAGGAGAGGCCCAGGCTAGAGACATAATTTTGGCAGTGTTCTTATTATTGGTGGCATCTAAAGCCATTAGGTTGGGGGGCGCCTGGGTGGTGAAGCTGGTTAAGTGACTGACTCTTGGTTTCAACTCAGGTCCTGATCTCAAGATCCTGAGATCGAGCCCCACGCATCAGGCTCCATGCTCAGCATGGAGTCTGCTAAAGTTTCTCTCTCCCTCTGCCTCTCCCCACCGTGCGCTTGCGCAAGCACTCTCTCTTTCTCAAATAAATAAATAAATCTTTAAAAATAAATAAATAAAACCATGAGGTTGGATGAGATTACCTAGGGAATGAGTATAGGCAGAAAAGGGCCCTAAGGCGTGAAGGAATCACCATTAATTTTTGCCAAAAGTTCCTTTTATCCTTCTTTTTTAAGAATTCCAGTGACAGGGGTGCCTGAGTGGCTCAAGTGGTAAAACATCTGCCTTTAGTTCAGGTCATGATCTCAGGGTCCTGGGAGGGAGCCCCATGTCAAGTCCCTGCTCAGCGGGGAGTCTGCTTCTCCATCTCCCTCTGCCACTCCTCCTGTTTGTGCTCTCTCCCTCTCTCTCAAATAAATAAATAAAATCTTTAAAAAAAAAAAAAAAGGGAAGAAAGGAAGAGAATTTCAGCTATATGGGCACCTGGCTGGCTTGGTCAGTGGAGCATGCAACTCTTGATCTCAGATTATGAGTCTGATCCCAACGCTGGTTCCAGAGATTACTTAAAAATAAAATATTAAAAAGAAAAAATAAATCCAGCTATACAGTAACCCTGTGAAAATGAAGAGTAGACTCTTAAGCTGTTTCACAGAATCTGGCTCTCAGACCAAGGTGTGGTATAATTCTACCTCTTTCCCATAGACTGCGCTGGACCTCAAACAGAAAACATTTCGCAGGGTGCCACTCACCTTTCAAAGTAAGCTGAGACTTCTCAAAAGGCAGGGCCACCCCTGCCCGGCTGGAGCTGGCAGATGCCATGTCATCACCAGAAAACTGCAAGACAAACAGCAGGAGGTTTAGAGGATATCCGGTAAGAGACTGAGGAACTGCACCCCTTTTTAATATTTCAGTTGAAAGAGATGAACCGGGGCGCCTGGGTGGCTCAGTGGGTTAAGGCCTCTGCCTTCGACTCAGGTCATGATCTCAGGGTCCTGGGATCGAGCCCCGCATCGGGCTCTCTGCTCAGCGGCGAGCCTGCTTCCCCCCACTCTCTCTGCCTGCCTCTCTGCCTACTTGTGATCTCTGTCAAAATAATAAATAAAATCTTAAAAAAAAAGAATATTAAAAAAAAAAAAGAGATGAACCAAAAAAATATAAAGGTCCAAGCAACTTCGTGCTACTTTTGTCAGGGTGGAGTTTGTCTGTCTTGTCCTGAGCCTACCTAGGTCTCTGCTAGCCTAGGAAGGGCAAAGGACTATTACAACATCAACATTTACAGGAGAGAGCCTAATATTACACTTTCAAAAAGAAAATCACAGTTCAACAATTTTTTAAAAGTCCAATTTTTGGGGGCACCTGGGTGGCTCAGTGGGTTAAAGCCTCTGCCTCCGGCTCAGGTCATGATCCCAGGGTCCTGGGATCGAGCCCCGCATCGGGCTCTCCGCTCAGCAGGAAGCCTGCCTCCCTTCCTCTCTCTCTGCCTCGATGTCTGCCTACTTGTAATCTCTGTCAAATAAATAAATAAATAAAATCTTTTTTAAAATAAATAAATAAATAAAAGTCCAATTTTTAAAATCAAGAAAGAATACAAAAAGGGGGTGCCTGGGTGGCTCAGCAGATTAAGTGATCAACTCTTGACTTAGGCTCAGGTCATGATCTCAGGATTGTGAGATCAAGACCGGAATCAGGCTCTACACCCAGTGTGGAGTTTAGGATTCTCTGCTTGGGATTCTCTCTCCCTTCTCTCTCTGCCCCTCCACCCTCCCAGGTACACTGTCTAAAATAAAAACAGATAAATAAGTAAATAATAAAAAGATACACGAATGGCCAATAAGCACATTCTGGACATCATTAGCCATCAGGCATCTCTGTCACTCTACCTTGGCTCAAAGCATAAATCTATCTTGCATTTTGAATGGATCTTTTACTTATACACAATTTTGTAACATCGCCCTTTATCATTTGAAAAATATTGGTTCCCTGAACTATGTAGATATTCCAAATGTTGACACATTTCATTATACACTATCAGAAAAAGCACACTTGTAATGTCACCACTGATCTCATCAAACAGATCTTTAAGTATTGAGAAAGTGTCAAGCTCTTAGTGGCAGATTTAAGTATTCCAAAATTCTAATCTTCACTTAAAAACTCTTATTTTATCATTGGCAACAAATACTGTCCATTGTTTTCCTTCAAGTGACAGGCTCACTTCATTCATCTTCAACAAAATGTCTGCCAAATACCCAATCTAGTAACTTCAGTTTGTTCAGTTTTTTTAAGTAAAAATAGCATTTCATGAAAAAAGCAACTTCGCTCTCAATTCAAACACTCACACAAGTGCTTCCTCCCAAGACAACCATCATCTTAGGCATGCAGAAGTGCTGTAGGTGTATTTCCCATTTCATCACACAGAATATTAAAAAAAGACATGCATAGGGGTTGAGATTTAATAAAATTAATAATTTTTACTGCTTTGTCAAGCACATTCTGAAGTCAAACTGGCCTGCTCTCTTTTTACTAAGTCTGCTGCAGTGAGGAAGACAAGGACAACAGCTCAGACTCACAGCATAGCCCAGATTCCAACAAAAGCAGCAACAGTTGTATTCACCTTCACTTTTGCACCATCAGTGCAAATGCAATCACAATGGAAAAGGCAAATAAAATTACTATGAAAAGAGTTTTGATCTCGCAAAACCTTTTAAGTCTCAAGTGGCTAGCAGAGGTCGAAGGGACCCCCCTCTGCCCCCTCGCATGGAGAACTGCTACTGTAAAGACACTAAGAAAGTCCTCTTCTATTCAACATCATTAATACCTTCTTCCATTGTATTTCTTTCTGATCTCTCCTCCAAGTTGCTATTCTGAAGGGTTACTCAGCCTTAAAAGATAACGGTTAAGTCTCCACATTTTGCTAAGAATGGAAACCCTTTATGTGAGGATGAAAATGTAGCTACCATAAAGTCCCACTGATTTTGACATTTTCCATAGCTGAAGTCAAATACTTTTATACTTCAAGATTTTAGCCAAAACAAAACAACTACCTTATTTATAAGGTATATGCAGTCCAAAAAAATTTTTAGTGACTAGTTTTTCCTGGACTAGTCTATAACAGGCATTTTACTTACAATCTTAGATATGGTGTGGCAATAGAAACATCTGAAAAGTTCTAGGGAGCATCTAAGAAGACAATACAGAAACTAACGCTATCAAGTTCTTAAGACCAGACCTCTGTGTTGCTAAGTCCAATAGTAAATTCTCAGTCCTCGTCTCATACAACCTACCGGCACACCTGACATGACAGATTGATCACACTCTTCCTTGGAATGCTTTTTTCCCTTGGTTTCCAGGACATCATAGCTGCCCGATGTTTCCCCCTGCCTCTCGGGCTTGCTCGTTCTCAGCCTCTTTACAGGCTCCTTCTCTACTCCTCAACCTCTAACCAGCAGGGTGTCTCACAGCTCAGGCCTTGCATGTCTTCTGGTAATTTCTCATATGGCTTTAAATACCAGGCAACTGTTGACAATCCCAAATTGGTGTGTTTAGTACAAACTTCACCCTCGAACCTCTAATGACCAAACGAATCTTCCGATATTCCCTCTCAAACCTGCTTCTCGGCCTACTGCATCTCAGTTAATGACAACTCTTTCCAACCAGTGGCTCAGGCCAAAATTCTAGGACTCATCGCTGCTTCTACCTTCCCTCTCACACCCCACATTCAAACTGTCAAGAAATCCTGTTGTTTGGGGGCCCCGGGGTGACTCGGTCGGTCGAGCGTCCGACTCTTGATTTCGGCTCAGGTCGTGATCTCAGGGTGGTGCGATCAAGCCCCACGGTGGGCTCGGTACTGAGTCCGGAGTCTGCTTGAGATTCTTTCCCTCTCCCTCTGCCCCTCCCCTCCGGGCTGTCTCTCTCTCTAAAATAAAATTTAAGAATCTTTAAAACATATTTGGAAATCCTCTTGGTTTTACCTTTAAAATATTCCCAAATTCAAACATTTCTCTCCACCTCTTGGCACCATCTTGGTCCAAAGCCCTGTGATCTCTTACCCAGATTATCTTTCTCTTGCTCAGACCCTCTTTACCTTCAATCTAATCTCTATGCTCAGCAGACTGATTATTTTTAAGACGTATGTCAGATTACATCACTCTGCTATTCAAAACCATTCAGGGCTTCCAGTCTATTGCAAAGTACAAGTCAAAGTCCTTAAAATGTAGGCCCTGCATGATACAGTCCACATGCCTCTCTGACCTCCCCGCTCTTTTCTTTCCCCACTTCCTCCCTCTCCTGAAGCTATACAAGCCTCCTCACTCATCCTTGAACATGCCAGACATGCTCCCCTATTGGACTTCTACCTTTTCCATCTAGAATGTTCTTTCCCCAATTGTTCACCTATAGGGACTACCTCAGGCAGGTACTCAGAAGTCACTTTCTTAAGAGGTGTTCTTGGACCACTCTATTACCCTATCTTTCCACATGCTTTTGGACCCCTCCTTCCGTATTTTACTTTTCCTCCCTAGCATTTATCATGGTTCATACTGTATGGTTTTATCGTATTTATTGTCTCTCTCCCTCCCCTAGAATGTAAGTTCCATGAAGGCTGAGATGTGTACCCCATCTGTTAGCCCCGGAGCCCTGCTCTGCCATCCAGAATGATGCCTGGCTCTTAACAGGAGCTCCATAAATGTTTACCCAGTGAACTGGAGCATCGCTGTCTGAAATTTAAAAGGAAGATGTTTTGATTTCCTAGACTAAATTTGTTTTGGTAAAGCAATAAAAAGATCAATGCTCTCTTTCCACCGAGCAGACCAGCAAGAGATGAGATGTCGGAGAAAAAGTAGTGCTGAGAAGCCTTACACAGTTCTGAGGGCAAATGAGATGGTACCTGGCAACCTCCTGCATATATTGTGCCTGGCAGGATTCCCCTCCTGGGTCTCGGCCCCAGGAAAAATCTCCCAACACATGCCGAAGAAGCCGGGTTGCAGAGATGTTCACCACAACAATCTTTGTAATAGCAAAAATTTGTGAATGACCTAAATGTCCATCAATGGGGGAATGAAAAAACTGAAACTGTGATCTACTTAAAAAATGGAATTCTATGGAATAGCTGGAATATCTGAATTCAATCTACACGTACGAATCCCACATTATGGGGCGCCTGGGTGGCTGGGGTCATGATCTCAGGGTCCCGGGATCGAGCCCCGCATTGGGCTCTCTGCTCAGCGGGGAGTCTGCTTCTCTGCCTACTTGTGATCTCTGTCTGTCAAATAAGTAAATAAAATCTTTTTTAAAAATCCCACATTATAATAGCAAAAGGGGGGGAAAAGCAAGTGAAAACCTAAGTGTAGTATGATGTCATTGGTGCATGCTTGAACTTACACAGAATCAGTTGTATATACTGCTGTGGCAAGACATGAATGGAATAAAAGGATAAAAGTGTGGCTGGGAAGTAACCACACCGAGGTGAGAATGTACGTTACTTCTAGGGTAGCACAGAAGAGACCATGGGAACTGGTGGAAGGACAGAGACCAAGGGAACTTCAAATGTATCTGCAACATTTTGTCTTTTAAAGAAAAAGTTCTGAAGCAAATATGGCAAGATGTTAATATTCATTAAATCCAGATGGTGGTTTTTATGACTATTCATTATCTTAGTCTCTGAACCATTTTACATGTTTGATCTCTCTCACAATTTAACGATAATTTTAAAGAGGAGGAAGATCATATCTTGAATAATGAAGGAAAAATTAATGACTATAAATAAGCCTCGGGGCTTTCGGTAACAGAAGTTAAAGCACTACAAGCAGGAGATCCATTATTTAGAGACTCAAAAAATA